CATTGCAGACGAGCTAAAAAAAAGCCGTCTTTCATACTTTTAAATAAATTTTAACAAAGTGTGTAAACCACATTTGGCGTTATTATCGCTCAAAAACAGATGCCAAATTTCAAAATGCGTCAATATGTAATTTCATAAATATCTTAGAAAATTTTGAATAACAAATTCTAATTTTTTGCCGGTGTGCCTAGAAATACATCTACTTTAAGACGATGTTAAAAATTTTAAGGTTATAATACAAATTTTTTTCGAAAAATTAAAAAAAAATATTTAAAGTATAAATTTTAAAAGTAAATCATAAAAATGTGCGAATTAAGTCTTATTGCCAATTCTGGAAGAAGGAATCAAGTTTAATAAAAAAAGAGATATTAGTAACTATATATCCAATTCAATTAATATCGAGAAGCTAACCTTTTGAGAGCTAATTTTTAAAAAATTACTCGTGCGATTTTTACAAAAATTGGCATAGTTTGAGTATAAATATGGAAATAATCGAAATATGGAAAAAAATTGGCATGTCATTTCAGAAAATGTCTGATTTTGTGTCAAAATACCTCTATTAGAGTAATGCTGTATATAAATCTAATATATATCCTAAGTCGCGCTTTCGAAACATGAAAAACGCAAGTTGAATTTCGTCAATCGGCCCAGATGGAACGGGATATATAGAATTGTCCTTTTCTCCCTCGCAGTGTACATCATAAAGTTGTAAGAATTTAGCGTTAAATAAAATAAAGTCAGTTTAAAATGTATGTCTTTTATCTTAAGTTAGAATGAAGATGTTAAAACCTGTAACTACACTGTTGAATAATTATATCGAACTCTTGTCAATATTACTTGTTACGGATACTTATACATGATTGTATTTGCTTAGTGTGATAAATTAAGTATCAGATATTCTCAAAATCTGTAAGAATTTACTTGTCAAAAATGTCAAATTATAATTCCAGTCTTTTCCCTTAAGTTAAAAAGAATGCTTGAAAAGCTCTAGAGGTCATAAAAATAATGATGATACTTACTGAAAAAATATTCGAAGTGTAGAAAAGCACATACCCATTGGTTTAAATAGATATTATGCGAAGAAAAGTAATCATTCCTGAATTATAAGATTTAATTCACAGTTACATAAGAAAACCTGCGTCAGTCTATATTTAATTCAGGGAGAAACGCGTTAGAGATGTAACATGAATGCGTTTTTTTAAAGCAAGATAAAGACTACATTTAAACAGATGTGTGACTAGAAATTAAAAAGTGCTAAAATTACGTTTTCTAGACATAGTTTAATGAATCATTTGAATAAAAGTAAGGTATTTAAAAGAGAATCCAGGTTTTTTTGCAACTGTTCCAAAAGGTTAGTAAAATTTGTGTTATATATTAGAAGAAAAATTTCTGAATATCTTCGATTTCATATTAATAGCATAAAAAAATAGGAAATTTAATATCCTTACTAGATTTTATAGAATGAACATGTGTTGTTTAAAGTTACAGAAAATATTATCCATGAAGGCCTGTAGAGTGAATTGATATCTGTGTAAATTCCAACTTAAATTTCGTAGACAAAGAAGTATGTGTAAACTTACTTTTTCAGAAATGGAATAGTAACATCAATAAATACTTTAAATGAGGGGAAAGTTAATATAACAAATGTGACTAGAAAAAATTTTTTAAAGTATGTAAATTTAAATTTGTAAGAACGAAAACGAAAAAGTGAAAATTAAAAATTAAAATTTTTTTTCGAAGTAAGAACCAGTAAGAAGAAAAAATAATGCTAAAAATTAAAATTTTCTTTTGTGAAAACAGAGAAGTGAAAAGAAAAAATATACTTAGACTTTTACTTTTGTAAAACAGAAAAGTAAAACGTGGGAGAAAACTTTTTTTAAAATAAAAATATGAAAAATGAAAACAATTGGAAATTTTTTGTAAAAAAAAAAGTATGGAAACATAAAAAAAGCTTTTGTAAAATAGAAAGTGTAAATGAAAAATTGGTAAAAAATGTTGTAAAACAAAAGTAAAAAAGCTTTTTGAAAATAAGAAAGTGAAAATCTAAAAATTTGATTAAACTTTGTAAACGGTAAAAAGGAAATAAAATATAAAAAAGAAATTTATTTTTGTTGAAATAAAGATGTCGAAAGATTAGTTTGCGAAAATTAAAAATAAAATTTATGTTTGCAATAAACAAAAACATGTAATGAACAAAAGATAAATTTAATTTAATAAGGAGTGAGAAGAATAGAGAGAAATATGTCTTTTAAATTAAAGGAACGTTAAAACAGCAATTAAAATTCTGGAAAAATATAATTTTAAAACTAAAACTTAAATTTATTCTTTGGGTGCAAAATACACCCAAAGAATAAATTTAAGGTGATGTCATAAGAATTATAAGTACTCATTATACTTCATGAAACAAACACGCTGATTGATTGTAGTAGAAAGGATGTTATCAGTGAAATGTTGATTTGCTCCTAGGTCTCTTAGCATGCACACAAAGAAAAATATGAACCATCGAACAAACTCCAACTTGAGCTGACGTTTGTTCGTTGATAATCCCTCCCCCCCCCAAGTAATAACGCCATAGTTGTTTTTCAAGTCATGGAATGAATTAAAAAGCATGTATATTAAATAACGAGATGCTCTGTTAAAAATAATTGCAATTTAAATAACTAAAACATGAATTTTTAAAAAATTATATCGTCCCAAACCCTGAATTCAAGATGTCTTCTTTACAAAAAAGAAAACTTGAAATAATTCATTATTACCAGCAACACCTTCCTCGTTTCCTCCCTCGTGCTTTGGAAAGCAATCCTCGTTTTCTCGTTGCCACAAAAGCAAAGTTATCATTTATGAAATCATGTTAATAATGTCTACGGTCACTTCCGATTATAACGTGATCCAGATAGCGGCGACGGCACATCAAAGGACTAAACTGATTATTCGCTTCTTATATCATCTATTACTCTATGACATAATGACTTCTAGAGCAGCATCCTTGCCTGCAAGAGAACTTCTTCTCATCACTCACATTAATTTTAACAATGTTATTTTAACAATGTTAACAGTTTTGTTGAAATTTTTAAAAGTCATAAAAGTACGAACATAATCCGTCTTAAATATTTTACCACTATAATAAACCAAAGAAACTATATAAATTTTCCTCCTCAATCTGAGTTTGGACTGATCGGAAGGATTTTCCTCTCTTCCCTCTAATTTTTTAACTTAGACACTACCGGCGTCGGTGGTAGATAAAAATACAGCTAACTACGAACTGACTTTGGAACTGTTATTGCATAAAGATGTCTGATCCACTTTCCACTTTGTCTTACATTCTCTGTAATTGCTGTTATATTTCTAAAGTAAATGTTTTAAAATTACTTGTCGAGTCATTATTATGGGACGAAATTCTCTTCTATGTTACATTTAGTTAAATTTATATCTATTTCTTTAGACTATCATTCTAATGCTACCGTACAAAGCATATTTTTTCATTTTGTTCCTTATTTGCGTTCTTTACTTTTTTTATTGCCTGCAAAAGTAATTTGTATTTAAAATTCACATACACATCCGTTGATTTCAGGGAATATGCTGCTGATCTTATAGAGTCATTAGGTTATTTTTATGCTGGAGACGTGAAAAATGTGCAGGGCCCTCGCTAGGACTCTAACCTGGATTTCTTGAATATACGACGAGTGTGCGTCCAGTTACATTACGAAGACATGCAGAAAGGAGACAGAAAATACCTTATAATTTGAAACTTTTATAAACAAAAAACGAAGTGAAAGAAATCCAAACTACTCCAAGAGAATACAAAGAAATCATATACTTTACGAAATGGAATAGAACATATACGTAATACAACAGACTATCAGTGTGGTCGTTACATGATGTCAGTAAACGAAAAAAGCTCAGAAAATTTTATAGCTTCATGAATATATGTATATATAAGTTTAATTATATGTATAATTTCTTTGCAATCAAATTATAGATAAATAGTTTAGAATAATATAATAGAAAAACGTATATACGTGTTAGAATTTTTCCAAAGAAAAGTTGTCGATAAAAGAAGACATTTTTGGATATTTTGTGTTACCATAAAACTAAATCACCCACAGGAAACTGAATCACCCATCATCATGAAACTAATTCACTCATCAACATGAAAGTAAATCACCCATCAGTATGAAACTAAGACGTTCTTATGGACTCAATCGCCCAGACATCATAAGCATCAAAATTTGGTACGAAAAGTATAAAGAAACTGGTAACATTGATGAAAGAAGTGTGGCTGATGAGATTATTGATTTTATTGTGAATGGTCAGAGAAGATATTTAGAACCAAGACTAGTCGTGATATTGATACTTTGAAGTCCACCATAACACATGCTTTGTCAAGTGTTACAGGGTAAACGTTGAAGAATACGTGGCGAAAACTGGAATCCGGACTTGATATTCTTCAAGCTATAAAAGAGGCAGGCGTTATAATTTACAAACATTCGTAAAAGAAATACTAAATAAATTTAATTAAAAAATAAAAAATTAGTTATTGCATTTACCATTTCAAAAAAAATTATGATAGTTCTTGAGCAATACATATTTGTAGTCAGGGAAAGACTTTTTGTTCATTCAATGTATTTCATATCAAGAAGGCGTCAAAGTTTTTAACGATGCATGGCGATACCGATTAATACCTATCGTATTCCTTAGCAATATCGGTTTATTTTCTGATTGCTTCTCATGTTTCCTTGTGCAAGATATTGCTTAATGACATTTTCCGTGAGCTTTGCATTTAACAGAAAGCTCAGAATTCATGCTTTTGTTATTTGTTTTGTATCCTTGTACGTCTCGAGGTCATCGTCTGAAGTATTATGCACAGATATAAAGCCAAAAGTAATAAAATGCTTGATAAAAATCTCACGGCAAAGACGACGAACGTCACCTGTCAGCTGTGTTTACCGATTAAAATTCCATCATCATCTTGCACTGACTTAAACAACGGAACACAGAGATGTGAGCATTTGAAAAATCTAAGCCATGGAAGAGCCTGATAAGGGCTATGCGTGGGTTATAGTCATCGCTGCATTTGCTATCAATATGATTCTGTCCGGCATGGCCAGGATGATAGGGTTCCTCTATGTGGATATCATCGAGGTCTATGGTGTCACAAGGGAAGAAGCCTCCTTGCCGTTCATTGTGAGGAATGCCATACGGTACCTAGCAGGTAAGGTTTCGTTTTATTTAACAATTTTATTAGGAAACAGAAAGTAAACAAATTTGGCTTTTTTTTTCTGTCTGCTAATTTTCTGTCGATGCTTTAAACCACATTTTTCTGCCACCTCAGGATTTTCAAAAAAGTTACTGACTAGGGAAATCTTTAAAATTATTTTATAACCACTCTGGTAACCAATAAAATTATATCTTTTGCAGAATCACTACATCTTCAGAAAACTTATTGGTTAGATAAACCCTCAAAATTATTTTTCTACTCTCGGAATGCATAAAATTACATTTTTTATGAAACCTCTGCCTCCTCATAAGGTTCCTAAAATTACTGAGTTGACTCTCTGAACATTCTCTGAAAATTATTAACTAGCTAAACCGTTGAAACTATTTTATGCATTCTAAGATTCCATCAAGCTATTTTGCTTTGGAACCTCTACATATGAAATGTTATTGACTAGTGGAATCCTTAAAACTATTTATCAACTCATAAAAACCCATAATTTTTGTCGAATTCCTATATTCAGCAAAACGTTAATGACGAGAGAAAACTGAAGAACCTTCCACTCATGAGACCCATAAAACTTTAACCTTTTGAAGCCGCTATATTCCCTGAAACATTGTGGACAAGGAAAACCCTTAAAAACTTTACTTTCAGAGAACTCCTATAGCTATAATTATTTTTATGGAACATCTGCCATTTTAGAGATGTAAGCATTGGAAATATGTCAATATCATGCACAATTTATGTAGAAAACGTAAACCTAATCATGATTTCATTATAATTTTACTCAAAAAAATTCTACTTCGTATTATTTTAGACAGCATCAATATTAGTAATAAAATCAGAATATTATTTAATTAATTATTTTGAATGTAATATGCGTTTCTCCAACTTCTGTAAGTGAAGTGATGTGATTGAACTCGAGCGCCGGAAAGCGAAAAACCAGCGTTGGAAAACGAAAGAACATAACCTTTCCCGTCTACTGACCATCGAACTGACAATCTATGAACTTATAGAATACATGCGTAAAATCGCTACTGAAGAAGTCGAGCCTTCAGACTCAGATCCACCAAGGAAGGGATTTCCAGTTACAAGCTCAACGGAAGGTCTGAGCTAATTAAAGAAGAGTTACGAATTTCAGAGAATATAGACTCTAATGATAAATAACTACGTTCAAAATAAAAAAGGGGAATAAAAATATTATATTACTAAAAAGAACTTTTATGCGTTAAAAAAGTGTCACTAAGTCGTTAGACGAGTTTGTTAAGTTTCATAAAGCCTTAAAGTATCTCTTATATGGCACACTTGTTTTAATCTTATTTTTAATTGATATGTACAAAATTATTCTTTATTACATATTTTTCTTTAAAATAAATATTTTTCTAGCCCTTGTTCCTACTTAACTTCGTGTGTATGGAACGTTATTCACATGTATGCAAAAGATGTATGCATTTATATGCAAAGTTAGACCTCGACTTACGCTAACCTAACTTTTGTACTTCATGTCGGTCCCACTTTCCGCGTAACTGCGAGATATTACAAAACTAAAATGCTGAATAATTGCAAAGCATTGTTTATTATTAATTTTAAGCTTACACTTTTTAAACAGTTATTTAAGCAGTTTAAAATCTGCACGCTTATATTTTACCTAACAATAGCAAATTAGAGTTATGAGAAAACAACGTATAAAAATGAAACATACTTTATTCTATAAATAATTTTAAAGGGAAAATATTAAATTATGACGTTTGTTTTTCACAAAATACTTTGCATAATTTACATAAAAAGAGATGGATATTTGTAAGTTGTTTGTCCCAGGGCCTTATTTATAAACTGGGTCCCGTTTTTGACTCTCTTCTGTGAAGTCTATTTCCTTAAAATTATAAGCAAATACGCGTGTGTGATAGCAGTACAATATTTGACAGAAATTTTCAAACTTTCATGAAGAATAGTTTACATTTTATTTAATGGTTGATTTTCCTCATTATTCTTGCTAAACAACCAATACTACAGTTATAGATAATAAAATTTTATAAGGTCCCTATAGTTATGTTGAATGAAAATTTATGCTCACTATTAAAAATAAAAACGCGAGAATTTGACAAAATCTCGACATATGCGGCAAACATTTAGCGAAGTATTTAATTTCTAGATTTTTAATTTTTCGCCATCTATCTGGAAATTCCTCAAGCAATCATTTAAAAACTAAATTAGGATGATTCGAGCATAATTTTCTATCATTAAGTCGTTTTGTGATATTCCTTTTGCGACTTACTAGTGTGCAACAATATTTAACCTTTAAATGCATGTAGTTGCCATTTCGAAACATACACATTTAGTCATGTAAATCCAATCAAAACAAATTTTAGGTTACTGCATAGTGTAACCAATTGGATACATACTGTTTACGTATATAGTTTTCAAAATTTCAGTGAGGAAGCACCACACTAACGATGTAACGGTCATTATTGTGAGATTATATGTACGTTGTGGACGTCATTTGTATTTACGAATTTTTGATTTTATGTTTGTTGTTATTTTGATGTATTTAAAATTTTAAAATTGTTTGAACAAGTTTGTTAGGTATGTATTATTATTAAAATTGTTATTACACATTTGCCTATAATATTTTTTTTGTAAAAGTTAATAATATTTTTTTGAAAATTGGAATAAAAATTTAGTTTAGATTTTTTTTAGTACTTTTCCTATTTTATTTGGTATCAGTTCTAATGTATTTTTTACTTTAAAAATGAAGATAAAAATTCCTGCATTTAAGGGTTAATTTATAATTCTGTTTCAACTGGTATGTCGGATGAATTTTCGTGCAAGTAATTTATAAATTTTCTAAAGCTAAAAAACATTATTAATATTCTGATAAAATTTTACTACTTTAAAATCGCAACCTAATAATCATAAATAATTAGTTAAACTAGAAATATTTTATATTTTTAAAATTAGGTAAATAAAATCACGAGTTGGATACAATCCAATACCGAAGCCTAACATTGCTTTTTCCCATGTACTACATATATAACGTGCATACATATATAACGTGCATACAAGTTTTCCTTAGAAAGTCCTTTACGAAAGCATCCCTTCCCTTAGGCAGATAGTCCTCGAGAGCTTTGCCATAATCAAATAAACTAAGCTAGACTAAGATACTGTTTTCTCGAAAACGAATTCCTTAAGTTTCTCTGAATTAGATCACCTTTTTGAAAGAAAAGAATTATCATAACATTTTTCTATGCTGATATTTAACTCTTAGTTACGTACAAAGACAAACATTTCGCTCTTCCCTTTTGCGTGAAGCCAGTAAATGTAATTTGAAACTTGAAGTAGCTCGATCAAGTGTTACCGTGTCGAGTCAAGCATTTTACATTTTATTTTTTTATACTGAGTCAGAGGGAACGAATAAAAAATAAGACAAAGTTTTTACAAAACATACATAGTTTTTACATAGTTTTTACAAAACGACTTTTTTTAATCGAAAACATATACTTTCAACCACAAAATTTTGCAAATGACGCAAATATTCATATTCTGTCGATTTTAAATCTGAAAAGATTCCTAAACTCCTAAATTGAAAAGATTCTTTATAAAAATTCATAAATCTGACTTTTATATGTTGTATGTAATTATGTTTGAGAAAACTGTTTCATCATTATAAAAAATAAAATACAAAATGGCTCTCATAGAACAAAAACTGACGGTGATATAAATTTGGAAATCCTTTCAGGAATCGTACCCAAACTGAGAGCGAAATAATTCCATTTAATCTCAAATAAAAAACCAATATCTGCTCAGAAAAAGGATTTGGATGTTGATACATTACGAAATGAGCATTTCTATGCAGATTGCTGTGAAAAATTGATCAATATAACTTTTTTTTTCAAAAAATGATTCGCAGAATCTTATAGAATTCATGTTTTAAGAAACACTGGCTGGCTTCAGTATTGACACTTGAAAATTTCGGAACGTTATTTACAAGAATTAAAAGTTTTAAATATGTCTAGTTTAAATAATTTTTGTATGAGTATTAGATAATATTTCTAAAGCAATAAAACAGCGTTCATTACATATAGATTTGCGCAAAAATTCTTTCCGTATACTAATTGCAACAAAATTTATAAGAGTTAATTTTCTTTGCTAACGTACACTGCCAGTAGACGAACTTAAAAGTGTGTTTAGCGACTTCTTGCTAAAACTAGAAGAAAAGTGCTGTATAGGAAGGGTATACAACAACCTTTTATTGAACTCAATTATTTAGACACACAATTATTTACTCTCAATTTCAACATCCACTTGAATTGAGAAACTTAATAGTAACAAACTAAATTCAAAGGTAAGCTGGTAGTTCAAATTAATTCAAACTAGCAGGTTGACTTAAGAACCTATACCGGCATGATATTAATTGCAGCGACAAGAATGCGAAGCCGAAATTCAGAATTCAAACAGCCGGTAGGAATAACAACGTGCACACTTAATAGCGAAAACACGCTCCGACTGACCTTTCTTGCTACTTCAGCTTAAATACATTCTGGTTCCCCCTAACTCATTTACACCCAGGCGAGGAAACGCGAAAAAAACAAGAAGTGTAGAAAAGATTAACAAATTAAAATAACTATAAGTAAAAATAATATAAACCTTATAAATTATAAATTAAAGAAGGTTACATATTTGTAAGTCCTCAAAGTACGTCACTGAAAGGTATCTAATGAGAAAAAAAATCCATCTCGAATTATTTTAAATTATTCCGTTCATTTATTAATTCTTTATTCATTTATTAATTGACTCCTCGAAGAAAGTTGAAAATTACGTCAAATGTCCGAAATTTTGAAATTAAATGTTTTAGTCTTGCGAAACAAATATTTTGTCTTCCATTTTTTATAACGAGTACAAAATTTCCATAACATATGTATAGGCCCGGAGCACCGGGGGGAAAAAGGACAGATTTTGTTATTTTTATAAAACTGAATTTATTAAATTTGCAAGTGGCGAAACACAAACATTTGCGTCATATATTTATTTTTTTTCACTTCGAACTAATGGTAATCAATGATTGCGCAAATGAACGTCGGGTAAAGACATTTGTGCACTTTTTACCTATTCAAGCCCTGTGCATAGTTGAATACATTGTTTTTTTTTTTAAGCTAGCATGTGTAATATCGAATTTCCAGATGCAACAGCGGAATGTCAACTAGCATTTCCATTCCTATCTTTTTCAGGCCCTCTAGTCAGCATGATGGGAAAATCCTATGGCATCCGAACTGTGTCACTATACGGAGGGCTCTTAGCAGCGGCTGGATCAGTGCTCACATGCTTCTCGCCGAATGTCAGCTGGATAGTCTTTTTCTGGGGAGGAATCCATGGTAACAACTGCCTTTTATCATAGATTCATATACGCGTGTCACTCAAAAAATTGTAAATAATATTAATTAATATATATATTGGGCAATCAAACGAAATCACTTGGCAAATACAGCACCCCACATTTCGTCACCGTATGCAATTTGAGTTGGGATCGCTGAACGGTTTCCAGTTTTATCAATCGCAATAAAGTATCGGTTGGATGCTAAATATGCACTCAGTACCTATTCAGCCCTCTGCAAGGTATCATTTACAAACTTGTAGCCTTCCATTTAGAAGCCTTTGGAAACACTTCAAAAGTATACCCCTTCTTGGAAACTTTTATTAAATGTAGCTCTTAACAAATTTACAGAACGTGCATTTCCAATTAACGGAACATACTTTGGAAGTGCTCTTTAATGTTGAATGTAATCAACAAGAGAAGATTAAGAAGTTTGAATTTTTAATGGTATTAGAGTCGCTAATTTCAAACGTTAGGTGCTGTGGCACATAAATGAGAGCTGAAAAGAAGACAAATTGTTGTTACTCATCAAACCGATATATCTCTTACCAAGTCATCATATCTTTTTGGTGTATCGAGGCTCATACAGACTTATGCAGGCCCGGCGTCCAGGCTCATGTCTATACATAACATAATGAAGAATTTTGTTCGGCCGCAGCAGTTGCTGAAGCAAGGGAGAAGTTATCGAAAAGGGGTGTTAAGGGTTAGCCAAAAAATAAAAATAATTAAATAAAGCAATGACTACTAACGCTGTTAAATTGATAGACATTAAATCTCCGGAACTCAGTCAGCTCCGGAATTGCTCAGCTCAGTCACCGGAATTGACATTCTTCAGAGCTCAGTCAGCTCTATAAAACTGCTTATCCAGCTTCACAAGATTAACCCACAGCAAAGATACCTTTCGTAACAGGGAAATTAGCTATCAGTATGACACTAACATATTTGATGAGAGGGTAATTTGCAAGTTAATGTCATCAGTTTCTTAAATTTCTCATTATTACCTCAGTACACATTACAGCCTTTTTACTCGATGTCAAAACACTTTAAGATTCAGTTTCGTGATAGCTTTCCAAATGTCTCGATCATTAGCTGATTTTTGTTGTTGTTCTCGAATTTTGATACTTTGTCGTACAAAAACCTAAGCCACCTTACCACTTTGGTATTTACAAGAGAAAAGGTGGAGTTATACATCTTCTGGGCAAACAGCTTACCAACTTGTTCGTTTATTTTTCTTTATGTAATGTTTCTGCTAATTACTTACTTAACTTTTAAAAATATAAAACAAATTTACTTTAGTTACGTCAAGAACATTTTCTTATGTTTTAGTTGCATGCGTAGCCTAATTGAAGATCTCCCAAAACTGTAGCCAAAAATATAAAACATCGGGATCTTTGACAAAATTAATATTCATGACCAGACGACCACAAAAAACCGTTGATAATCCATGTCTATGCTAAATTTTAATTTCAATCACATCAGAAGGGCAAAACTTGAACAATACACAGTGCACACAACATACGCCTTGTTGAGTGATTAATCAGGTCCTCTGGAATGGTTTTCGTCCAGAGTATCGTGGAAGTCTCTAGGTCTATTGATTATTTTTGATAGTCCTAACATTAATGAGAATCACATAAAATAAAAAATTTCAACGTAAAATTTAGCACAGATATAGCTGAGAATATGGCAGACTGCAGTTTTGGTGGAGCTTTCCAGAATTTTCAAAGCGTTTTGTTAAGACAAACACAGAAAAATCTATTATGTTTTACCAAGTTATCAAAAGAAAAACATAGCTCTTGGAACAGGTTTTCACGTTTGCGACATCAACGAAGAGGAAGCTACTTGATTGATTAAATTTTTGTGCCCAAACATTTCAGAAGAGTCTAGGAAATCCAAACTGAAGAATCATATAGAAACTTTGGAAATCTTCATACACAATTATTTGGCTAATGCTGTAGCTTCCACTTCTTTACTAATGTAGGCGTGGAAAACCTTGCTTCTTTCGACTTCATATTCCAACTTGCAAGTGAAACATTACAGTTTGCACTGCGTCTATACCAGTGATAGTTTGGTTCGACGTTTGAATACCCGTAAAAGGGCTGACTGCGTAAGCGTTTTCGTGTTTTTTTTTTTTTCAATGTGTATCGTGTTTACAAGCCAATTTTCCCTCCGAAAATTCTCCATGAAGATGTCTCTTCCCTTAGGCAGTCTTTCCCTTTGTCGTAATTGAATAAACAATAGAATGTAACCATGTATCTGTATAAATAAACCATGTCTCTATATAAATCAACCGACCTGTGACCACTGTTTAATAATGTTGGATTAGCTCCAATGGAAAAGCAGCCAGTGATATTTTCATCTTTATTTTAGCGCATTTTAACTTTGAAACTTTTTTTAATTTTAAACTGTACAAAAGCATTTTCTTCAAGTACAGAGATATACATATTTCTCAAAATTTCTTAGTTCTTTATGTGCTTTTGATAGGTCTTGGTTTCGCAATGGCTAGCACCCTCTACCCGGTGTTGGTGAACGAGTACTTCGAGCGGCACCGAGCTACCGCTTCCGGCATCGTCTTGTCCGGCGCCTGCATAGGATGTCTAGTCTTCCCACTTCTTCTGGAGACCATTTTGGATGCATACGGTGCATTGGGGTGCTTTCTCATTCTTGGAGGCCTCTTTCTTAATGTTATACCAGCTGCACTGCTTCTCAAGTCCCCGCCATGGGTCGATAATCCTGAAGAATATGCCAGGAAAAGAGAACGTAAGTTGTAGATATTTTCGTGAATAAGTTACGTTAATTAATTAATTACAATCTAGAATTTGGATATCATACTATAGTTATTTTTGTAGACATTCAATGAGTATTCAGTTATATAATGAAGGAATTAATAACGTAATTCAAAATAAATGATATGAAAAGAAAACATACCTATAGTTATTATAACAAATTTATTTCACAAATACATATACCAAACATAAGGAATATGTCAGCACACTTACGAACATTAAAGCCCTTCAAATCCTGCAAAATACAGTGCTACGAATTATCACGAATGCACATAACGTTGTAAGCAGGGACATCCTGCATGCTGATCTTAAAATCCCTCGCATGCACAATACCCTCAAAGACTTTCACGAAAGCTTCTAGAAACTAACAAGCTGTCACACAGTCAACTATTCATCTATCTTCCACTTCCTTCTTTGTGCTACCCGCCACTCAGCGGCGTGGAAGTACAGAGAAACTTTGAATTGAAACATGAAATACTAGGAGATTGCGTCCCTTCGTCGTTCATCTCTTAGAACACGAAACTTTTGTAACTTAGAGGACATGAACTGTGCGCTCTATTTTCAACTGCTGATTATTTATACTATAAAGAGTTATACAGTGTTTATTTGCATTTATTTCCTCCTTTCTTCACATAGTATTGAAAAATTCAAATTGTATTTATTTTGTGCCATCTTGTAAGTATTAGTATTCCTTTTCGTTCATCGTCACGTGATCTCTGAGGACCAATGGAGATGAACTTCTATCCAAAGCTTCGGATTGGCTGCCGTTGTCACTTGGCTGCCCTGAAACTCAAGTACTTAGTATCAAGCTCCAGCCAATGAACTTGCCTTCTCATTATGCCTCATGGATTGGACCCTAAAAATATGACGACTGCGTTCTCTCTGGATACTCGCGCACTACGAACTCTCTGTTGTTATTTGCCTGTTGACAACGGCACGAAGTGTACTCTTCATGGTAACTCATGGTTAACCCCCTTCTCCATCGTCACCACTCCTCCGCTCTCGTGGATCTCCATCGCCATAGATATGCCAAAATTAAGTGCCATTTTGTGGCAGTATTTTCAACTGAGCTGGTAACATCGCGGTTCGAGAGATAATTCAGTATTGGTCAGATAAAATTCTAATTTTAATTTGTAATAGTCTCTTAGATCTCTTTTTTATTTTGGTTATTTCCCCTTTCTATCCTTAAATTAGAAATATGCTTATAATAAATCTTTTTGAGCTGTGATTTTTGAGCAGAGAATTAATCTCTGTCATTGGAATTTTACATAACGCTAAAGATGCATGCACTTAAATAACATTAAAGCGTACTTAGGGAATAATAAGATTAAATTTCTGAAAACCGAAACCTTAGTTAACAAATAAATCCGGACCATTACTTCACTATTCTTCGCTAACATTTATACCATAATCTATGCATTCTTCTCTCATTTTATATCGTCTGCTGCTTATATAATGTAAATGTATATTGTCTTCAACATCAGTGCCACGCTCTTTAGAGTCTAGAGGAAGTCTACGCCTTTGCTCTCTATCTGCGGATTTTTCGTCTATCCGACGACTTGGTGTCACCAAGTAAAGTAGAGTTCCAACTTTATTTTACCTTCCTGATCACAGCTTCTCTGTACAATACGTAAAAAAATGGTGTTTACCATATTATATTATTACCGACAGTGAGCTATATTTTTTTCCGCCAATATGTATAAAAGGTACGCTTTCAAAACAGTTCCCCGTTATAAAGGTGCCTTCACCCTTACGCAGATTGGTTGCAATTCGAAAAGACAAAAAAACTTCGCAAGATTACCCCACCGTAGGGGTGCGCTTACACTTATGAAAGTTGCAAAAGTTGGAAATTGATCTTCATGAAATTGAGCGCACTTTTGCGCCAGAGCATCCATAAAAAGTTTCGGCCACCTTAATAATGGAGTAGCTTTATGATTAAGGTGCCGTATAATGCTGTTTCTAATTGTAAAGCAAAAATTCTTTATATGTCAATGGTACCAAAACAATGTTATTATTTTCATTAAAAACTAGCGGAAGTATACGATGCCAGTTAAGTTAGATTGAGAATGATGTACCTAACAACAGAGATATCGGTACCGCTATAGTCATCTAATAACGATGCAAAAAATACGATTCACAGTCATACATTTTTCACTCTGATTTGATATGGAACCCACATAAAAAATTTCTGTAGGTAAATAAACTAATTCCCTCTCATTATATCACCAACAATGGCATGTAGTGCTTAATGATTTTCGTCTTTCTAATCAAATAGTCGTAAAAGCTGAAGCTCTACCCAATATTTAATCAGAGCATCCTAAAAATGCTACCTATATTCAATTTTAGTTGACTAAATGCGGCAAAACATTTATCATAATTGATCAGGAAATCAATAACGCGAACAAACAAAGAAACACAAGCATTCTTCTTTATATATATTAGATTTTGTAAAACTTACAAATTTTTTATTAACAAACTTTACGATTTGAAAGCGAGCAGTAGCAACACGTTTCGAAATAAAGCAGTTTCATCTCCAACGCGCGAGAGTGTTACCACTCTGACAAATGAATGCGAAAGTTATCGTCGAATTTTTAATTAATATCTCTGATTTTAGCTATTCTTGTTTTGGAAAAATTTGGACATCGACCTTTTTTCCAAAACAAAAAAAGGGGGACTGTAGAATGGACCCAAAAAGGAATTGTAGAAAGTTTGGCGAAGATAGCTATAGTAGTGACTGAGTTATTAGCGAACAAACACACACACAGACTTCCTTCTTTATATATATAGATATCGACAGGAAATTCGCAAATCATAGAATCAAATTTTTGTTTAGCATTGTATTTTAATACTGTATCATACAGCAATTATTTATGTGGACATTCAATAAGCATTCAACTCCTTATGGCAAAGAGACATATTTAACGAATTAATTGATATCAGTTACCCTAAAATAATGTTTTTTCATACTTTGGTGATTCAGAGAACTCATCTTTCAAGCTCCATAATTAGATATTTCACACGTACCATTTTTTTTTAACTGTAAACCCGTTTTTAAAGAAAAATAAAATTTTGAAGCAAATTAATACTTTATAATTCTATACTATTTTAAAGTGCCAAATTACTAGAACCGCAAGGGCTGCGAGACGACTTATCATCCCATTTTACTTGTAGGGTTTATATTTATTTAAACTAACATTTATTTTAAGTTTAAGCTATCTTTCCTGTCAAGCCTTTACTTTCCCCTAGAATTGCCAATGCCAGAGTATGTAAATTTTAGTAGAACGGGCAGAGTATTCAAATTTTAGCAGAAATAAATTGAGTTAAATAGAAGGGAAGCGAGATCGTAAGTGTGCTTCTTGAATCACGAGCATGAAGGTTGCTAGGTAGAAATTTAAGAACCGCGCGTTTCGGCCTGTGTGCCTATTTTGGCAGTTCGTTGAATCTTTCAACTTCTTAATCAGTAAGTTTGCTGAATCTCAGCTGTATCTTAGAACGCGGTTAAGTTAGTCACGATCATAGAGCCTCGTAGGTAGTGACCTCGTTATTTATTCCTCCTGTTATTTATTTTTAGTTGTATTTTTCTATTTTGTTACACCTCCGGGTCGGCGTAGTTTGTAAGCGTTAAGTGAAAGCAACTGTGATTTCTAAAGTGGAATAAAAAGGGATTTAAACCCTTCTTACGATTTTGTGTACTTTACAGTTCATAGCAGTCACTACTACTGTTGCTGACAAGTTGGGGCCTCGCAACATCACATTGGCGCCCGAACACTTGTCGAACTGAAATGGCGAAAAACTGGATGGAAGCTCCTGTACAACTACAACAACAAGAAATGGCTAATCAGTTAGAAGGATTTGGATACCTGGTCCAAACGATGAGAGCATCTATCAAGCCAAACGTCAATTTCGACGGAAAAAATTCGGTGGTGATATTTCTAAAAGGCCTAGAAAATCACTTCCAGCTATACCCTGTGCCTGGATGACAAAAAGTTGCCATTGCCACGTCTGCACTAAAGAGGACAGGCCTCACTATGGTGGAAGAGTATATAGGGAACTTTTTATTAGGAGAATTCGGAGGCCAAACATATACCTTTGAAAATATTTCAAAATATCATTATTAAAGGCCTTTCCCATAGTGAAAGACCGAGCAAAGCTAGAAGCCGAAACTGTATAGTTTTTATCAACGAATAAAATCCGTCAAATCTTCAATATTATCAACGTAATATAGAAGATTTGACGGACATCATTCTGCGAAAAGTTAAGTTGACAAACATACTGTATGGGAAGAAACCCGACGCGGAGATTATTGAAATAATATTACCAAGATTGCTACCTGCTGTCCAAGATTACTTAGAAATCCGAAATCCAAGCACCTTGCAGGAACTCTTCGAGTTGACGGTCAAGTTCCAAAACCGCAGAATAGCGGAAAACTCTAAAGGGGCATCGTATTCTCAAAGTCACCGAAAGCAATCCTCAAATCAACAGACCGGAAACACAAATCGCTCTTATGGGGGAAAGAGCTATCAAGCCAACTCATCGAAGCTCGAATGTCAAGGCCCAAAAAGGAAATTTGAAAACAAACCTCTGCGTAAAGGGCTTGGAGGTTTGCTATCGATTACAGAAAGCTTAATAGCATTACTAAGTTCCCGGTTTACCCTTTGCCGGTAATAGAGGAAATTATTAGAAAGATTAGGTCTACGAAATACATGACTACGTTGGACTTAACGTCTGGCTACTATCAAATAGCTATGAGACCCGAAGACATACATAAAACCGCGTTTATCACAAAATCGGGCACTTATGCATTTTTACGCATGCACTTTGGTTTGTGTGGGGCCCCGTCAACATTCCAGAGAGCTATGGACATTCTTCTAAAGCCTGTCCTAGGAAAATCGACTTTAATCTATCTAGATGATATAATTATAACGAGTAGTACGTTGGAACAACATATTAAAGATTTGGAAGAAATTTTTAAATTATTAAAAGAGGCTGGTCTTACAATTAACGCATCAAAATGCAAGTTCGTGACTAAAGAATTTAAATATCTGGGTTATAAAATTTCGCAAAAGGGTATAGCAAACTCAGGATTCAAAAATAAAAGCCATCAAGAATTTCCCACCTCCCAATACCGCCAAGAAACTTTTCTTCTTTCCTTGGGTTATGTTCTTATTATCGGTCGTTCATAAAAGATTTCGCGAATATTGTTGAACCGTTGTTAGTAATTAAAAGAAAAAAAGTAAGTTTACGTGGAGAGCAGAAGCAAATACAGCTTTTGAAAAGTTAAAAGAAGCACTCATCAATGCCCCTGTTTTGAAATTCCCGGAAGGGGACGAAAACCTGGAAATTGCAGCAGATGCGTCGGACTATGCCGTAGGTGCGGTTCTCATGCAGAATGGGCATTCCTTTGGCATTTTTTAGTAAAACTTTTAAATTCTACGCAAAGGAATTATACAGCTACGAGAGAGAGAAACATTAGCCGTATTAATGGCTGTACACAAATTTCGAGTTTTATTTCGGCAAAGCGCCAGTAACAGTCTTTTCGGATCATGCGGCTGTTGGTAGAACTTTACTCGGGGAAAAACCTAACGCCCAGGTTAATAAGATGGGCTTTAAAACTTCAAGAATATAACCTAATAATTAAATATAAACCGGGTAAGGAAAACAATGTTGCTAACGCACTATCTTCGAATAAAACGGGACGATGAAGGCAATGAACTCAAATGCGCTGTGTTGACTATTTGTTTCTTAGAATCTAAAATTTTTGAAAAATTTTAGATTCTAGAGAAACAAATTATTGCTGAATTGAAAGCTGATCCTGAATTTGGAAGTATCTATGCGTATTTAAAAGACCCCGAAAGCTTTGAACACACAGATATCGATGCAATAAGAAGTAGAGCAGAAATCTATGAAATAGTAGATAATTTATTGTTTTGTATGAAAGCTACAAACGAAAATTTCGAATATAGACCAGTCATTCCAGCCTCGCTTCGATTAAGCATTTTGAAGGAATTACACAACGCGAAAACAGCGGGCCATTTAGGGGTCAGAAAGACTTTAAAAAAGATACGCGAGGCGGTATATTTCCCGCAATTATACGAAATAGTAACTGCGTATGTCAGGTCCTGTAATCAATGTCAATTAATAAATGATATTAATTACAGCCCAGCCGGGTACTTAAATAGCATTCGCGCTACATTTCCGAATGAAATTTTAGGCATAGATCTTCTTTGTTCTTTCCCCCAAAGTGAGTTAAATAAAAATCATTTTCTTTTAGTAATTGTAGATCATTTTTCAAAATGGACAGAAATTGTTCCACTTAAACGCGCGTCAGCCAAAACAGTCGCAGATGCATTCTTACACAGATACATTTTAAAATACGGTGCAACGATAAAAGTCATTAGCGATAACGGTAAACAATTCGTTAGCCAAATATTTGAAAACATTTGCACTGGACTTGGCATACGCCATATCAAAATGGTTCCGTATAGACCACAGGCAAACATCGCAGAAAGAGTTAATAAAAATATTGTAAAAATAATTCGAAGTTATGTTAGCACGCATCACAAGCGCTGGGATGGCTACATAAATGAGTTAGCCTATGCTTTAAGAACAGCAAATCATGATACTATGGGAAAAACTCCAGCAGAATTATTTTTAGGACGTAAGTTAATTACGCCACTAGATAAATTATTCTTTGTTTAACAAACAGTGGAAGAATTCAAACAAAAAGATATACAGAAACTCATTGATCAGGCGGTTAAAAGTTCGGATACGGCAAGAAATAGACAGAAACTTTACTATGATATCGGAAAACGCCGTGAAGCAGATTTTAAAGTTAGGGGATAAAGTTTTAAAGTGGAAATTTTCTTTATCAAGTGCCCCAGACAATTTCACTGCAAAATTGGCTCCAAAATTTGAAGGCCCCTATGTAATACAGGAAATCAAGGGCAGTCGTATTGTACCTTAAGAACGAGAGTGAGGAGAAACCTGTAAAGCAAGTCCCGACCAGGTGAAAAATATTATAATCAAAATGATTTTGAAATCCTTAAAAGTTTCTTGCAGGACTCAAGCGCAAAAGAAGTGGAAATTCCAGAATTAACGCCACCCGCTCCACCACCCAAGAAGCAGAGAACAGAAGAGGAACCTAGCCCTTCTACAAGTCATTCTAGGGTCCCGAAAAAAGGGAAGGAAAATGGTCAGACTCCAGCATTCAAGAAATGCAGGAAATCAACGCCGCCGCGTAAAGAATCTTTGGTAAATAGGAAAAGACCAGTTTACAACTTTCCACGTCCCGCAGTAGAAATTCTGCGAGTCGAGGAAACCACTTCCAGGGCCAGATAGTCAGGAGCAAACAAGGCCGCCAGTTCACGAGAAGTAAAAAAGACAGAGAAGGAGGAACGAAAAAGATTAGCACCAACAGAAAAAATTCAAGCAAGATTCCAGACCGGAGGCCTGCCAAGACCAGCCGTTCCAAGGCGGCAAACGGAAAAGACAGGAACCCGAAGACTACCACCCCAAGAGGCCGGCGTACAAGAGGGCGAAAAAGAAAAGTCACCGTGGAGGAAACTAGAAGAAGCCAAAAGCGGAGATTGACTTCCATGAATTCTATAACTTGGGATCAATTTTGCCAGAAGAGGATGTCGGAGTTCCAAGCATCGAAAAGTCAAAGATAAGTTAAAATCTTCTATAAATTTTTTCTTTTGTTCTGAAATGTTATGCGTAAATACGAAGTTCTATGTATGTCCTGTTGGTCGAAAGACTAATTCTGTTATGTTAAAGCCAAGATTTGGCCGAAAGTAAAATAACTTCGTATTCTTGTATTAATGAAAAATTTAGTTTCAGTGCCGCCAGCTTGGCAAAGAAAGCGTGAAGTAAAATTTTATTTTTATCTTATTCATTTTATGGTAAATTGCAAAAATCATATGTATTAGAATTTTGTAAATATAGGTAAATACTTGAAAGTTATGTAAAAGTAGAATTTAGTATAGAAGCATAAAATTTTAAGTGCTAAAAGTAAATGCTCAAAAGAAACGAATTCAAATCTAAGTATTAAACAGTAGATAAAATCATGCTTTAGAGCGAAAGCCTGCATGTCTAAAGATGCATGAGGGGGAATTTAGAATGAATGTGTTTTGTAGGGTTTCTCCACCTACACTTGAATTTTAAGAATGTTAAAACATAGCTCATCGAGTTTCAGTATGTCGGATTAAGGTGTGTCAGATTTGGTTGTTGGAATTCTAACAAATCATTGTGGTTAGGGAAGTGTTGTAATACAAAAACACGAAGATTCCCGTTTGACACCACACATGGTGGAGAAACAGGGTAAAGTTAAATTCATGTTTGATTATTTGAATGATTGTGAATTAAGCAGTTAAATATGGAAAAGAAAAGGATCGAAAACGAAAACTTTATCCAGTGTTAAGAAAGTGTAAATCATAATGTATTTAGAAGATACTGATACTTATTCCTTCCAGATGCTGGAAGGAAGAGAAAAGATTGATTGCTGAAGACTAGAAAGGATCCTGTAAGAAGATATGTTCATTTATTCATCTACAGAAATGATTATAATTTGTGAGGAAACAGTTTGTTTTATGTAAACGGAGCTCTTGAGTTTTAGTTCAGAATATGGAAACTTTTTCAACAGGTCGTTTCGAGGACCTGCTTCCAAGTTTACCAAAATACCATTTTTTTTTAACTGTAAACCCGTTTTTAAAGAAAAATAAAATTTTGAAGCAAATTAATACTTTATAATTCTATACTATTTTAAAGTGCCAAATTACTAGAACCGCAAGGGCTGCGAGACGACTTATCATCCCATTTTACTTGTAGGGTTTATATTTATTTTAACTAAAGTTATTTTAAGTTTAAGCTATCTTTCCTGTCAAGCCTTTACTTCCCCCTAGAATTGCCAATGCCAGAGTATGTAAATTTTAGTAGAACGCGCAGAGTATTCAAATTTTAGCAGAAATAAATTGAGTTAAATAGAAGGGAAGCGAGATTGTAAGTGTGCTTCTTGAATCACGAGCGTGAAGGTTGCTAAGAAATTTAAGAACCGCGCGTTTCGGCCTGTGGGCCTATTTCGGCAGTTCGTTGAATCTTTCAACTTCTTAATCAGTAAGTTTGCTGAATCTCAGCTGTATCTTAGAACGCGATTAAGTTAGTCACGATCATAGAGCCTCGTAGGTAGTGACCTCGTTATTTATTCCTCCTGTTATTTATTTTTAGTTGTATTTTTCTATTTTGTTACACCTCCGGGTCGGCGTAGTTTGTGAGCGTTAAGTGAAAGCAACTGTGATTTCTAAAGTGGAATAAAAAGGGATTTAAACCCTTCTTACGATTTTGTGTACTTTACAGTTCATAGCAGTCACTACTACTGTTGCTGACAAGTTGGGGCCTCGCAACATCATATACTTATTAACAGCAGTAAACATAGCTTATTGAAGGTTTACTTATTCATTAACTAACACGTCGTCTCGTCTAACCACACAAATATTGAAAAGTATAAAAGAAACCAAATCTCTACAGCTTGCTTGAAATGGAGAAAAAACGTTCTGATCAAATTAAGATGTGAAACACAAGCAAACACGAGTCTAAGTCAACACTGGCTCGCGCCCTAAGCATTCGTGAAGGAAACGCGGTTATCCGAAGCTATTGTGATTCAGTGACTTTACAAATTCCGATTCCACTATACATTGTGTATAATGAACTAAATGTGACTTGCTTTTCAGGTGCAAACAATAACCCTACATTATTAGAAAACTGCGGCCAAGAAAACTCTAAATCCTCCTTTAAGAATACCCGAAAGTCGTGGACAAAGGATTACCCATTATGCCAACTTAACGTCTGTACTCTTTCCGAACTGCCCAGGAAGAAGTTATACCCCGCGTTTGGTACCCGAAAATTCGAGCTGAAAGCACCAAAGAAATCTAAAGCAGAAAACGAAATTATCTGCACTTTATACAGCGTGACTAAGCCTTCTTGGAAAGAACGAACTTTATACGAATCCTCTAATGTAAGTATTTTACGCACTTTAAAACATTTTCACTAATGTTTACAGAGTATTTATACTTTATTTTAGTACTGGTAGAAGTACTGGTTAGTACTGGTATGTTAGTACACATAGAATATAGTGTGTTTGTAACAGTTACAGCATATAATTTATATTTTGTGATACTTATATTTTATAACTTTATGTTAGTACTGGTAAAAATATACAGTATAGCACTATATTATATGGCACTAAATGTGACGTGCGTACAGAAGACTCCAAATTAAAATTAGAGTGCATACAGTAAATTCCTGAATAAGAGGAGTAATTGCATGGGCGGCGCTTACGATTAATTGCAAAGGAAGTTTAACTCCGGAAAAGTTAACAAAAAATGAAAAAACATAAATTGAAAGGTTTTAGCCCATAATCGCTACTTTTCTCGAATCTTATGCAATCCGTTTAGAGTTATTCCGTGAAGATGATTTATTTTCTTGCATTACAAAGAATCTTTACATATCATAAAAACTGCTGCAATCAAATTCTTCTCTGAATTTTTAGCAGCTGCTCTCTTAGATCGTTAATGTGAATACTTTCAGTCATTTTCTTCTATCAGACGCAGGTGACCACATATCATGTCAGCGCGTTGATGTAATCGAGGATTATCGCCGAAGGTTGAACTTGCAGAATGTGATACGTAATAAAACTTGAACAACAGTGTTGAGTATGAAAAGCAATTACGTAATATTTTTCTTACGAGTTCTTTGAAATTCAGTTTACTCGAGGCAAGATTTTTGAATTCCACTTTCCTATTAAAAAATTAATAAATAAAATAACTAATAAAAAAATTTGAAAGATTTCAGATTTTACATCATGCCAAAGGGGCACTTTTTTAATGTTTTGCGTCTTACCTTTATTTATTAAATATCATGTTTTTCGTACTTAAACCATAAAATTCAATTCAACAGCAATATCGCAGAATAATTTTAAAATGAATATATCTTTAGAATTTCCGATACACAGTCTCGCGCGCTGGAGATAAAAATGCTTTTTTCTGTACAACGTTACCATTGCTCGCATTGAAATCCTTGAGTTTGTTAATCAAAAATCCGTTAAAGTTTAACAAAATATGAGATCGATAATAAAACAAGTTGAAAATTTGAGCTTCCAGTTGCCCATATTCGCAGAAGGATTACCTTATTCAAAATTTGATGGCTTTAGGCACTGTTGTTTTATCACAAAGGGAGAAACATACATACATTTATGCAGATTATTCATTATTTAATTTCTTTAAATATAACAGAAAATGCCAGAACGAAATTAATAGCCCTTCTGGGCTAACATTTTTTGGGCTAAACAAAAATCATAATGGACTACGTAAGAAATCTAAACCCGTATGGGGAAAAAGGGATTAAAGCAGGAGGGAAATCTTCAGTTATTTTATGCGAGTACTAGTGTGTATGGATGAATGTGTTTTGAGAATGACCCATATAAGAAAATGTTGCAAAAGTCATTTTTTATAACCCGTTCGGACCTATTTATTTTTACGGCCAATTTAATGTCTAGAAAATAAATAGACTAGAAATGTCTAAACTTTGTCGGTTCGAGTATCTCTAAAACTATATTTTATCATTTTAGATCCCTTAAAATTGCAGTTTTTCTTATGAAACACCTAAAATCATAATTTTTCTTTTGAACCTCTAAAGTCATATTTTTTTAAACCACCAAAATGATAACTTTTCTTTTTCCAATTTCTAAAAATCATAGTTTTTCTAGCCTCTGTAATGTTTCTTTTTGCAAGCTCTAAAATCAATTTTTTTCTTTTTGGAAATCCTAAAACTATTCCTTTTTGAAATGCCTAAAATCCTAATTTATCATTTTGGAATACCTAAAATAGTTGCCTTTATTTTTGGAACCCCTAAAACTATAATATTTCTTTTGGGAACCTAAATCTATAATTTTTGGAAGCCCTACATCTATAATTTTTGGAATTTAAAATCATATTTTTCTCTTTGGAATCCTTAAAATTATAATTTTTCTTTTGTGGAGTACTTAAAATCTTAATTTTTGATGTCGTCTTTTGAAAATAAATATTGCAAAATCATTTAAATGATATATCAATGTTGCATGCACTTTCCACGAAAATTAACAGGAAAATCATTATTTCGTCTCAGTTTTTCTCATAAAGGCTTACTATTATAGGTAACAATAAAATAAACCTAAAAATGTTATTAAATGAATAAATTTTAAATGCTGAGTTTATTGGTACACTTAGTATTCAAACACTCTTTCGAATTCTGATTTTGAACTGTGGAATGTCTAAGAAGCTTTGTATGAATCTTTGTGATCCTGAAACTATGATTTTCTTTTGTGAAACTACTAAAACTATATTTCTGGTGGAACATCTGCCATGTACAGAAAATAGATGTTACAAAATCCCTACAATTTTATCAATGTTGCGAGCAGTTAATGTAGAAAATGAAAGGAAAGTTACATTACATTCCAATCCATTTTTGCTCATAAAAACAAATCAGTTTCTTATTATTTTAGGTAACAATAAAAATTACTAGCTAATTAATTATTTTAGACAATTAGTTTTGCAGTTCAAGTGGTCTTAAAAATTCTTCCAAATTTTGGGTTTTGATTTGAGGAGCCCGCAAAGAAATATTTTTGCAACGTTTCGTGGAACCCAGTTTCGTGGAACCCAGTTTGAAGACTACTGTGTTTAGCCAATTCAGGCCTATTCGCGCCTAACGAATTAAAATGAGATACTTTGGGAATGGAATCCTTCGTATTTAAATCTGGGCTTAACTTGAGGAAAATAACTCCGTAAAGTTTAATACTAAAGAATAAAGAATTTCAGTGTAATAAATAGCACAAATAACCAAAAATGCTGTCGCTGAAAGCAGTTCCATTCGAAATTTGTCCAACTTTATTAATACGATGTTGTTATTATAATGTAATAACACTCCCACTTTAATAAACGTTTTAATCATTTATAGTAATTTTCAAGTTGAACTCCCTTTTTTATTACCTTGTACGAGGTAAAGAAAAACTTCGGACTCGTGTTTCAATGGATATATCCACTTTGACCACTCCTAAATCTATTGGAAAGATTATTTTCTGTGACATATGTACGTTCCGAAAAATATGTCTCTTTTTTCCAAAACGGACCGTAAAATGGATTTAAAATGGATTCGAAAAGAAATTTTTTCATGACATCTGTACGTGCATGCCAACATACGTATGTATGTATGTACGTCTTTATCTCGCATAACTCAAAAATGATTAGTTGCAGAACGTTGAAATTTTGTATATGTGATTAAGGATTTTTGTTTTCAGATTTTTATGTTTTTAAAGCAATAGAGGTTTAAAAATTACTAATTTGAAATACTAATTAAAAAACTAACTAATAATTTTTTTTCATTACAAATATTCATGGTTTTAATTAACTTTCTGTTCCTCAGAGTTGGTATATAAAATGTTTTCTAATTATAAATCATTGGTTTATTACTTTGTAGCTTTAGCGCAAGTTATAGGCTTTTTAATTTACTCATAATTACTTTCATTTAGAATTTATAAACATAAAGAAACTTAATAAGAGGCAAAAATTAAAAACAAATTTCTTATACCCGTCCTGCGCTATAGCTACACGATTGAAGTAAAATAAACTTAAAGTATCTAAAGTTAAAAGAAACTGGATTCAAAACAAGGCAATTTTTCAAAAATATTAATAATTGCATCCTTGTATAAGAGGTTTAACACAATATCTAAACAATTCAAAATAAAAGTGATCATAGTACTACAAACTCGAAAACTAAAAATGCAAAAGGCAAAATATATACAGGATGATAAAAATATAAAAATTTATCTCCTTATATTGAAACTCCAATTCAGAACTCATCTAGGGAAAAGGAATTAAAGCTTCATAAAAATTGATTAATATGCTTCGAAAACGTGTTTTGTTCTCCTGGTTCATTTGAGCATATAAAACCAAAAAGAGGTGAATCTCGAATGTACCAAGATTTTCCCTACACGCCTTCGAATAAAAAAGAATAAAACAAAACCTTGTTTCAAATTGACTACACAAAATAAACCATAGAACTTTACATTATGTAAAATGACCATTCATAAAAAACCAAATTGGTCTAAAAAACATTATATGCAATTCCAAGATTCAAAATCAAATGTAAATATAGATCGCAATACAAATATAATTTACACAAAAAAAGTCATTTAAAAAATACGCTAAAAAATGGACGGTCCCCGATTATGCTTAACTAAACTTTTAAATCCAAGAAAACGAAAGCATTTTCTCGCAATCTCTGATCGTAGGCATATACTCCAATTACAAAAGTATTTTAAATGATGCAAATATTCACGAAATTTTTTTTTAAATTAATTTTGGACAAATAACGAATTCTAAATTTTTAATCTGTTTCCTAAACTTACAAAATTTTATGCTCATTATGATAAAGTAAAATAAGAAGTTTGACTCCCGTAGAACAAAAATTGCCAGTGTATTTAATTTCAATATTTGCAGTTTTTTATGTCATTTTCAACTTACATTGAGGGATCGGCTAATTAAGTTAGAATAATTCCCGGAAGTAAATTTAAATAAAATACCGCAAAAAGTGTATATGATTTGATAAGCCATGCAAAGGAGTTATGTGGTGGCTACATCGGAATTTTTACTATTGGTTATACCTTGCTTCAGAATTTAATGAATGCCAACTGCGGCAAAAAATTTATATCCTCCACTGAAATGGGTAATTGGCCTAGTACAACAATATTGGCTTGCCTGCCTAGTGAGACTTAACCACATTATAGGTCCACTCTCCCTTTAGGACAAGTCGCAGTGGTTCAACCCCCGCTATTGCCTCTCCAGGAGAACGGCGCACCACCTGGGATTCTCCAGGCTACCGCAAATCAAATGACTGGTCCGAAATGCCTGTCGAAACCGAATGCCAGTCGCTCGGGCTACCCGTCGCAGTGGGTCATTACCCAGCGAATCGGGGGCGCTACCTTCCCCCCCCCGGCTACTAGAGCCGTACCGCTCAGGATGTGTCAGACCCCGAGGCCGGCCAATAAGTGACCTTTCCCAGTGCATTCAGAACCACCAAGTTCATAAATTTTATAACCCCGTGGCTGAGATTGCCTAGGTACAGATCCTAGCCAGTAGCTTCGCAGAATTCTTTAGTCGACCTCCGGGGGGGGAATTGGCCTAGTACAGTATTTTGGGGAGAGAAGATCCTAATATTTTAATTTGGTCTTAGCTTCTTCTAGAAAGTCTTGAATCTCGACTGTGGCAAACAATTTGCATCCTGAACCAGATGTACTCGTTAATTCACATTTATTGTAGTTTGTTTGGATTGCACATGCAGTATTTTAATTTGGTTTTATTTTCTGTTAGATTCCAATCAATTCTGAGCGCAACAAGCAGTTTGTATCCTCCATCGCAGATGTCAAAAAGGTACCTTCTGGCACTCCTTCGGCAACGATCTGGAACGGCCTGGAAGCTCTGAAAGATATAGCTCAATTGTACACTAACCCCATGTACATCCTGATCAACCTAAACATGGCCATCTACTTTTGGTGTTTCCTTCCTATTATTACGGTGGTTGTTGACTATGGCCGTGACCGCGGCGTCAAGGACTCAAACATGAAGTATCTTATTCACTCTCTGACAGTCGGAGATCTAATTGGTAAGTATGCGATACAATTTTAAACATCAGTTAAATCAAGAAATTCATTAAATATATGCTGACATTTTACTATTTGAAATTACTTTAACTGTCAACTCTTAGGAGCGTAATGGAAGACAGACGACTAATAGTCCGAAATGCAGTAAACATGAATTCAAATGAAGGTTTAAAATAAAGCATTTTTATTAGTAGTGTCTTCCTGGCGGTTACACAGTATCTAATATACCACAGCACAACGTCCGCAGTTTGCAGATAATTCAGAAAAAAAAATGTTGAAGTCAGATTTAAATATTAAATAAGAACTAGTATTCACCCACTAAGCTTTGTCTCAGGCCTCAATACTTTTACGAGGTAATTTCGACTACGGAACTAAAGACGACTGCGCAGTTTTGTAGCAAAAAAATCTAACAAAGAGGCTGATCAGCGACAGTTACTCAAGCTTAAGAACTCTGCACTTTACTTAATTTGCCCCTTGGTAGGAACTGAAGAAAGTACAGAGGCTGTTCGCACATTTTTTAGACGATTTTGGTAAGCGGTAATAAAAAATCGTTTGCTGCAAAAGAACTAACTTCAATTGTACTATGTTTTTAAAAGTCAAAATTATCGTCTGTGGCTTGAAAGTTTTGTTTTAATTCAAAATGGCGAATTTAACAAAGCAGTGGTTCAAAGGCTACATTTACTCTTTCCGAAGAGAAATGCATACTCCGTTATCCAAAAACGATGTGAGAGTCATGGTTTTGTAATATCTAAAGCGTCGATAGGTAATATCATCAACAAGAAAGGAAACGAACTTCAAATTTGAGCCTCAAGTGGGACAAAAATTCCAAACAAATATCCAAGGAAAAAACGGGCATCTTCGACTATTGCAAAGGTTCGTTGTTTAATGTTAAAAGAAAATCCCCCTAGTCGAAGGACAGTTGCAAAATCATTAAAATGCTCGGTGTCCCTGTAAACAAAATGATAAACGTTGATTTAAATCTTAAGAAAAGACGCAATGTGCATCGTCTTCTTCCAAAGCATATCGCTCACCGCAGGACACGCTGCAGAATTCTATATGAGAAACACTTATCCAAAGAAAAATGGAAAACAATTGTCACAATAGATGAAGCATGGGTGTATTTAAATGATTGTAACAAAAAAGAGCCATTTATTATCATAAAAGGGGAGAAAAAAATTTAAGTACATGGTTCAAAGAATCGAAAGAAAGTTTTTCTAAGGGATTCATGATTGTTGCTGGTTTTCTTATAATGGCAAGTTAAAAATAAAAAGAGTGCAAAAAATGTCAAGATTAACTCCAAATACTATCAGAAACATATTTTATCGCCAATTTTTCTGAATGAAATACCATCGCTTTACCCACAGTGCTATCAATCTGTGAAACTCCATCAGGAGAAAGCTAGCAGTCACACATCAAAATCCACTGTAAATTTCCTAAAAGAAATGGAACAAAAAACTGGTATCAAGGCTGATATCCCCTACTAAATCTTCCGATTTGTCACCTATGGATATTTGTGCTTTCGGACTTTTAAAACTTCATTATCCAAACGTTGTCCCAAAACCCTAACAGGACTTTGTTCGGGAGCTGTTCGGGAGGAATGGGATAGAATACCTCTTCTGCCACTTCAAAAGGCATTATTATCCTGGAAAATGCGGTGTCGAAAGATAGTTCAGAATAAGGGATGTCAAATAGAACATTTAAAACACAAGAATTTTATGTAATTTAGTTTTGCGAATACAATATACATCGTCTAAAAACTCGGTTAAATGACATCGAAAACCTATTGTCGTCCCCACTAGACTTTAAATAACTCAAAACTAAAAGTTTTATCTTGGAACAGAATTTAATATTTTAAAACTAACTAGAAGCTAATGGTGCTCAGTTCTTCTTTCCAGCCTTCTTGAAAGGAAAAATACTTTAGTAGACATTTCAAAACATTTTCCCTTACATTCATATACTATGTATATACATAACAATTTATTTTAATATACTTGATCAGATCTCATTACCTTCCATGACATTGCATACTATCATAATTCGAGCGCTGCCATGAATCTTTCCGGGGTCCCCTTTGTCGAAAAGACTTAAGATTGAATATTGGTAACTCGAATTGCTTTCTGTTTGATCTGAGGTGAACGGGCTGGCTGCATGATTGATTTTTCTCTTCGGAAAGAATGTAAATGTAGCCTTTGAACCACTGCTTTGTTAAATTCGCCATTTTGAATTAAAACAAAACTTTCAAGCCACAGACGATAATTTTGACTTTTAAAAACATAGTACAAATGAAATTACTTCTTTTGCAGCAAACGATTTTTTATTACCGCTTACCAAAATCACATATGATTTTCCATGTGTGAAACGTGAATACGAACCAGTTCCCCTTAGAAGTCCTCCGCGAAGGTATCCGTCCTCTTAAGAAGATAGCCCTCGAGATTTTGTCATATTAGATAGTATAGCATGATCTAATAACGTTTGCTATAATAGCAATGGAAGGCAGTGGAATACCACAACGACTATCGTCGTTTTCTTCTGAATACTGAACTCAAGAGATACATCCGTTCATCCTCCAAGACAATGTGTGGTGTCATAATGCGAGCACTTGCACGCGACGTTGGTCATCGGAGGTAATGGAACATCTGCCATGCTCACCTGATGAGAATTGGTGTAAACATGATCTCTTCTTCAGAATGAAGATCCAGTGCGGTGAATCTGCTTCAAAACTAAATAGGATGCTATTTAGGTTTTAGGCCAGCCGCTGCGGGGCATCAACAGAAATTAACATGGTAATGGTGTACGACACTTTCCAGTAATTTGGCAGAAGGTAGTACACATGGCAGGTGATTATGTTGCTGGATTACAGGTGTTTTTATTCTTTGGCAATAAATTCTTTTTGGAAACTACCGACACGTAGCCACTACTTTTTATCTAACCATTATTCGTAATGTACACTCTTCGACTGCTCTTGTCCTAAATGAACTATGGAGTTCTATGCATTACACTGAGTTAGAAATGTCTAATCCAGCAGTCCATGCGCGATAATATTGTCGCCCAAGACGTCGATGCTAGGCCGTATTCATGCTTATCGGTGTCAACCTTTCCCAGTGTCTATGCAATATCTATGAGCATTGCAATGTACGTCTTTGATTCCAGAGGATAATTTAAAAGTCGCATACATTGCATTTTCAAAAACTGATTAAATTCCGAAATGGCTGTTAGTGGCAAATTGTTTCAATAGATAATTACTTCCCTATACAAGTAATACATCACGTGAAACTTTGATCGCAGTTCATGTTGATAACTTTAAAACAGTTTACTTGGTGTAAAAAAAAGATAAGTTTCTACCATACTGAGAAAAGTGGGATCGCAATCAAATTTACGTGTTGCGAACTAATGCTCCATCATAACAATAGTTTTATAATTTTGGTGATAGTAACATTTTATTCCTGACGTATCCCATTTTGTTCCAAATCAGAAGAGATTAGCCGCCACTTCATTTCTTATGGTGAAAGCTTCCAGTTTCTTGAAATCAGATTATCGACTGAAAAATCGTTATCTTGTTAAGTTCCCGAACAACTAGTCTCTTTAAGCACTTCCAGAAACTTTTCGGTAAGAATGAGTGGCAAAGTAATGTTCAGCCAAAAAATTTCATTCTTCTTCGGTAAAACCTCATCTACATCTTAAAACAAATAAATGTGTTTTAAAGCTAACAACATAAATTTTAACTGAAATTTCAAATGATGTATTACTTAAACCAGTATAGGTGAGTAGTCCATTGAAACAATTTGACATTGGAATTTTCACAGTTTCTGAGGGTTTGATGTGCGAGCGACTTTTGGATCACTTGAGCTATTCTTACAGTTCAAATATCAATTGAGTTAAAGTTAAAAACCTCTACAAAGTACTAGCGTCCGAATCCCGGCGAGGATTCTTTTACGTCTCCGGCTTCAAAAACAATTAATGACTTTACAAATCCTATAAGCTCAAACGTCCGTGCCTGATTTGTATACATTTAGTATATAATTTTAATAATTTTTAGGGCGTCTGTGCTTCGGTTGGGTGACTGACTCTCGCCTCATGACCTTTCCTCTGTTCATGACTTTGACTGTAGCTCTTCAAGGACTCTTTGTGGCAGGTTTTCCTCTTACTTACAACTGGTGGCTGTATTTGCTTTCTGTTGGCCTGTACGGAGCAGCATCCGGAACAGTCTTTGTCCACCTACCAGTCCTAGTCCGCAAGTACCTAGAAGAAAAGGACCAATCCATGGGCATCGGTTGCATTGGAATGGTATCTGGCCTGGTCACCTTCGGCGTGCCACCTCTAATAGGTAACGAAGACATTGCATTCTCACAATAATGTATGGTTACTTAAATATTTATTTCACAAGTGCTCGTCTATTGCATACTAAGTTGCTCTATAATACTTTTTAACAATGAATTTGAAGTGAACTAGTGACCACTCGTCCAAATAATTAGCTATTACTGGTTACCTAGAAGAGTAAACGCATGTAGGATAATCTACCAGTACAGATCGGTCGATAAAGACAAACTTATAAGCAATCAAGATCTTAGTAAAACAACAGCAGCTAGTCTTGGGTAATTCAAGATCATAAATACATTCGTACAGAGAATGTCCCAAGTTTTCCAGATACATATCCAGATATACTCTGCGTGCAATATTTGTAAGAAACTTTTGTCGCTCATAAAATATTCTGGTATTTTTTTTATATATTATTATTCAGTTGCTATCTTTTAATATGTTATGGAACATTCTGGTGTGCTACGACAACATTTTTTGCATGTTACAGAATTTTCTGGTATTATTTGATAGCCTTACTTGTATGCCATAAAATAGTTTGGAATTGTGTGACAGCCTTTCAGGTATATCATAAATATTCTGATATTCTATAATAGTCTTTCTGTTATGGCATAGGATATTCTAGTGTTCTATAACTGTGTTCTGGTACGTCATAAAATATTCTGATATTCTATAACATTAATCTATATCTAAATTTTCGTGTATCATAGAATATTCTAGTATTCTATGAAGTCATTTTGTAACATTATTCTATGCCTGCATTCTATAAAATATTCCAATATAATATGGGGGCCTTTCTGGATATCATAGATTATTAATGCATGACATTATTCTATGCCTGTATTCTGGTATTTCATGGAATATTCTTGTAATCTTATGTTTGCCTTTCTTAAACGTTTTATCTTGGGAGATTTCAAAAAATATACAGTTCTCTAATAATGTTTTATAATTGAATTCATAAAGTTCGAGATCTGAAAAAAACAATTTATTTTCAAATTAGTCTATGCTGTACACAAATCTTCTATATCTTCTATGTTGTACACAAATTCTTTTATTCATAGAATTTCGAGATTCTTTAGCAGAAGTCATTCATGTGGTTCCAAATTTTATTTAAATGGGTAACATGCCTTTCTCCAAGCGTTCCTTGAATGGGGAAATGTAAAAAATACAAATACAGCATTTCCACGGCGCATTGTCTTCTTTTAGCAGGTTCAGCTGATAAAAAAGGTCTGCAGCCCGAATCCGAGCGAAGATACAATTAATATTTCATACATCCCTTCTCAGTGAAATTTCATAGTCTCTGGAATACAACTTTTAGTACCATGTTTTAGTTCGAGTGCAAGAAAGGGATTTTGTAATCCGCGAGAGCGTTTAAAACAAACTACAGTGAGGCAGTAATTTCGATTCTTTTCCATTAATGTAGTACCACCATTTTCCAGTGTTCATTTCGTCGCGTCTTTGGCTCAATATTAGAGCAAACAGAACGATTGGAACTAGCAACAAAGAACATTCTCTGATATCTGAACAAAATCCCTCAAACGCCCATTACAGGATAGGAATACGTTTGAAAACTGCTTTAGTTCTCAGAACTTAAGAGAGGTTAACCCTTAGCAGTATAAGAATATTAACCGTACGAAAGGAATATGAGTCCTTCCATATGAATTTCAAAAACAACGCTTTTGGTCAAACAAGTTTTTATTATACTAACTAGTATTAAATAAAATAACACGCTGAAGAACAAATGTTGAAGATACGAAAGCAATAAGAATCATCTAAGATGCGTAAATTTGAAGAACTAGTTCAAAGGTTAAATGGAATCTTTCTCTGCAGGAATGTAAATAACAAAGAAGAAATATGTTTTCACGCGATAACAACAGATAAAAAATTTGAGAAAGTTCCAGTTAGTAAACTGAACTGAACTGAGAAGATTTCATAGAAGCATAGCCCTTTCGAATTCAAGTCGCATTTTAATTTCATAAAGAGATTATTCAAACACAATCTTTTTTTTTTTTTAAGAAATATCTCTTCTTGAAGAAACAGGATAATCCCTTCTTCACCTTTTGACAAATCCCAAGTAATTAAATCTATTGCAATGAAAAGCTAATTAAATGAAAACCATGGTTGGGCGAGCGATTGTTATGATGACAGTTGTGGTCAGGAAAGGAATCAAATAAAATAGCAAACTTGAAGCAAAGAAAATATGCCAACACAAGCAAGTGACAAGTGGTGCAGCTTTTAACGAAAACGCACTGGAATTTCAAGCATGAGCCACAGAAAGGAACTTAAGCATATACACAAGTTCTCATTAGCATCATTACAAAGTATGCGCAAAATAGCTAATATAAAATAGCTCTAAGGCGGGGCTCACAGCTATCCGTATTGCAATGCCGGTATCAGTATCGACCGAATGTCCACCATAATATTATAGATCTTATATTTTCAAGAGAAACAAGAAAAAATCATAAAAAATAAATCCTCTGAGAGATGCAAAATATAACCATGAAATAAATCCACTTTCAGTTATTTCCATTTGTATTGAACATCGTACTTATCATTGCAAATTTAAGTATTCTATACAATTTCGAAACAATTAACGATATGCAAACCGTGAAGTAATCTGTTCCTCTGAAAGAGTCTTTTTTCCGACTTTGTGTTATTTTAATTATAGGTATGCAAGGTAAAATATATATAAAATAAAATCCTAATTTAATTTGCCGTAGCTCCTTGTGTCTTCTTTTTAATTTGGTTACATCTCTCTTTCTATCTGAAAAATAGTAGCCTGCTTATAGCAAATCTCTATCTCTCTAGCGTGTTCTTTCAAAATTAATCCTTATCATAACATCACGCCCATGACGCATGTTCTAATGCAAAAATTCTTTTATCCAGTGCTAAACTGGATAAAGGAAATGGTAAATTTTGCAAATTAAAGCCTTGATTAACTAATAGAAGTAAAATGGAACTGTAACTTCGTAAACATTCATATCATACTTTAAGCATTGGTCTTTGCGATTCTCTTTCTGCTCTAGTACGCTGCTCTCCTCTTCTCTTTCTTATTTCAAGTATATTAAAAAGGAGAAGTCACATTGATCGAATATTATTACTGAAGAAGAGGGAGGTATTTCGCGGCAGTTAAGATTATGTTTCCTATTCAAGAATGTTTTGTCAAGAAACAAAAAATGTTAAATCGGTATGACTGAAAATACACACATGCCTCGTATTTGTGCACCAGCAACGAAACGTTCTACGTCATCCAAGTAAAACTTTTCATTACATTTATATATATATATATATATAATATTTATTTATTATAGCATCCGTCAAATTAAGAAATTCTTTTTTTTTACTTTTATTATGGCGTCTGATCAACGTGATTTCTCCTCCCCTCTGATTTTTCTCAATTTTGCATATAATTTGCCTAAAATTATTCGTTAACGAAAAAGTAAATCTTCTCCGTACCTTCTCCATTTTGATGAAACCCATGGCACGCTGTTGACCCTAAGTTAAAATCATATCAGTTCTAGAAGCTGAAAGTAATTTTAAGGATTCTTGTATTATAAATTTGTTCAAGAAGAAAGGCTGAAATTATATGGTTTATGACAAATCGTAATCGGTTTCAAGATCTTATTCAGTCATTACTCACCTCATTTACCAGTCATAACCGACCCCATCACCTAGTCATTAATGACTCCATCTTACCAAATCATTGCCGAATTCATTACTTAATCGACTTTGATCTTATCAGTAACAGCTTGAAGGGGATGTAAGTAGGGAGACTACCCAGTACGCCAAATGAGGAGGAGTGCCACACCGAATTATCAAGATTTTTTTAGAAAACCAAAAAGCTTCTATGAAAACCATATGGTATTTCTCCGTCTTTTTAGCATGCCTTCGTTGTGTAGTGATCAGCACGCTGTTGTGTAGTGAATTTAATTTAATTAAGTGATTAATAAAAATCAAAATTTTAAAGTTTTAATTATTCAAAATTTGAGCTACACAAGTTTGGTTATATTCTTTTTGGGCCTATTAATTCTAGTGTAATATATTTTGGCTTTCCGAGTTTACGCGCGAACTGCGTCTTCAATCTTGTACACGCAAGACAATGGATAAGTATTTTTGTTTCTGCGTAATAAACTCAGTTTTTCATGTCAAAAATTAATTTGATTTCTTAGTATTTAATATCATTAGTTGCAGAAAAATTAGCTCTTTAATTTGGCATAACTTTCATTTTTCTAACTTTAATTGCATTTCAGTTATGAGCTTTAATTAGTAGATTTTTCTTCGTTTCGCTTGTGATTTAGTTAAAGGGGGATGAAATGCCTTCTTTCCGGTTGAAAAGTCACTTTTTTGCGAGTTTTCAGCGTTCTTTCGTTGGGACCCTTGCAGGGTTGTTGAAATTCCTAATCTCCCCCGGTCGCAGGTGGCAGTTATTTGGCGAGGGTTTGGCGACTTGGATTTTCCGTTGAGGTTTCAAAATAGTGGTTTTGGCGAGTTTGATAACATGAGGGTATGCTGTGGTTGCAACTATTTCAACTTTCGGCGAAAAATGGGTTGCGCCAACTTGGCAGTCCGGCGCTCTCCCTTTTAACGGGTTGTTTTAGGGGACGAGCTCACTTTTGACACTTTTTGCACTTTGCACTTTACTTCTGTTGCCCTTTGAATTGGCCGGAGGCGACAGCTGACTCCGACGAAGAAAATGGAGCTTCTCCCCCCGTTAGGCCTACGGGCCTCTTGGCTAAGCGCTGTGAGCGCGGGCCGTAGGTATGGGCATCTATGTCTTTAAAAAAAAAAACAAATCGAAATTCTTTCATCAGTTTTTGTTGCGGGTGTTTGTGTATCTCAAGGAAAATATACCGAAGTAAATTTCTAGAAAATGATGCGCACCATTGATTTTTCGCTTCACCCGAGACCAGAGCGTTAATTAAAAACCGTTGTTTTGGAAACCTCATTTGCTCATCCTAAATTCTACTAGAACTTCAAGGCTACCATAATGAATAATTAACACGTTGCTTT